ATTTATTGCGGCGGTTGATTCCGTTGCATGGGTCTCAATTGAGGGGATCCCACACGAGTGCTTCGTCTGTTGTCGGGTGCATCGACCCGGCCTATGCAAAGAATCGCCATGGACTGGTCACGACCCGGCGGCGTCCTCAGGAGCTTGAGGCACCGCTCCTCCCCGAGAAACGCCGCCGGAGTCGCGGCGATCCTGGTCTTCTCGGCGGTCGCGTTCTCGGCTCTCTCCTCCGCGAAACGCTCGGCGGGCTCCCTCCAGTCCGAGGCCTGCGATTTCCCGGCGATCTTCAACTTCGGCGACTCCAACTCCGACACCGGCGGCAAATCAGCCGCCTTCCGCCGTCTCCAGCCCCCGAACGGCGACACCTTCTTCGGCAAGCCTTCCGGGCGATACTGCGACGGCAAAGTGATCCTTGATTTCATAGGTGAATGGATGGGTTGGGCTGTCCCTTTTCGGGCCCAATGTTCTTTGCCTGCCGATTGCTTGATAATTTGCTTAGCTCGCCTCGCTCGTTCTTACTGCTGATCGTAGTTGCTAGAGTTTTGATTAAAAAAATTTGTTCAAGAAAAGCCAAGAAAGAGGTTTTAGACTGTCCTGCTGAATTTCTCTGCAATTTCCATTGGGTATGTGTAACCACACTCCATCTCTCACATGGAGTGCTTGAGGGATTGTTGGGTCATACTCATTTTGGGGTTTGATCCATATGAATCGAGCTGGATCGTTACGGTTTTCAATGCCATTTTTGAAGACCCGAGGTTAAAGATGTAGTTTGAAATCTTGTGGACAGAGTTATGAGGTTCAGCTTGATCTCCTTGATAAGTTAGTTTCTCTCTTAGCCTCTCATTGTGTGGTGTGTTTGCAAATCTGGCAGCTGAGAAGTTGGGATTACCATATTTGAGTGCATACTTGGATTCCATGGGGACAAACTTCCGCCACGGGGCAAATTTCGCCACGGGAGGGTCCACGGTTCAGCCACTGGATACCCGAATCTTCGAGGGAGGCTTCAGTCCCATCTCGCTCGACGTACAGCTTTCGCAATTCGAGCAATTCAAGGCACGTACTCTCGAGCTTCATGCCGGTACTTGACTATTCATTTGATTCTCCGACTTTGGACAAGTTTAGGTCTTTGCATTTTCAGAATCTGTTTTAACTCACGAGCATGGAAGTGTGAAAATTTGTGCGTTATGTTTCTCAGGTAAGAGTTATTATGCGAAGAGTAGTCTGCCGAGACCTGAGGACTTCTCCAAGGCATTATACACAATGGATATTGGTCAGAATGATCTTCATGCCACATTGAGTTCCATGACTGAGAAACAGGCATTGGCGTCCATTCCCAACATCTTGAATAAGTTTGCTGTAGCAGTAGAGGTAAGTAAAAGTTTCTCTGATTAACTGCTTATCAACTCTCTAGTTTGTGAGTACCGTCTAGACCCTTTACCAAGGAAAGTAGCGGCTTGACCGGGCATTATCTGAACATTTCATCTTTTTTGTATTCTAACATTATCTCTTGCATGAAAGAAAAAGGAGTTTGTAAGTTCAAAGCTGCACCGTAGCAGAATAGACTCGTGTGTTTTGCTTAATGTTCGTTGACGTTAACAAGGACTTATTGAAGAGGCTTTTAATCAGTATTTTGAACAAAAAGGATGGGTGAAGAAGCTGGATGTGGGCATAAGATGTTTGAAATTGGGGGAATGTTCCTGATCACAATGGGCTTTTTTTTAGTTGCTCAATGTATCTTACATGAGAGACATATTGCCTTTACTTTGGATACTCGATTGGTTGTTTTTGATGTGATTGGCTAGCTTTATGAAATGCAGCTATACTCTTAGAAATTCTCATGTCATGGAATACTCAAAGAAGTAGCAACCACTCTAAACTATGACTTTTCTGGCCTTTGTATTGTTGTTAATGCTTGTGAGACTTTCACAATGAACTTTCAGAAGTTGTAACTAAAATCTGTCAGTAACAAATACCATGCTCTAACAGAGAATTTTGCCATTTTCCCTTAAATAATTTTTTTTTGGTCGGCCTCAGAGCTTTACTTAAATGCCTAATTATGCCTTGTTAGGTACCTAACACTGATTACATGATTTCAGAGATTATATCAGCAAGGAGCAAGGGTATTTTGGATACATAATACCGGACCTATTGGATGTTTGCCCTATGACATCATCTATTATCCTCCAGAATCGAACAACACGGACAAAAATGGATGTGTGGCATCCCACAACAGAATTGCACAAGAATTTAATATGCAGCTCAAAATGCTTGTGTCCAAGCTAAGACTTCAACTCCTGGGTGCAATGCTAAACTACATTGACATTTATACAGCTAAATACACTTTGATCTCTGAAGCTCAGAAACACAGTAAGCATCCTGCAGCTACCTAAATTGCAGATAACACGTGACATGTAAGATATGGACAGAGTGCAGAATTTGACATCAATTTAAGTTTCAATTGGATTCTTCTAGGTTTTGGTGGTCCACTGGAATATTGTTGCGGGCACTACGGGGATTACACTGTACAATGCGGAAAGAAGGCGATTGTGAATGGAACTGAAGTAGTCGGTGCTTCTTGCAGCGACCCTCTGAAGGTGATAAGCTGGGATGGAGTGCACTATTCTCATGCTGCAAATCAGTGGGTGGCGAACAGAGTTATTGACGGCTCCCTCTCGGATGTTCAGGTTCCTCTCTCGGAATCATGTCGCAAGTCTGTTCGCTCATGATCATTGTGTCCAAGCAGTGAACAGCCCCGAAGTCGCGATTCACTTTAGTAATGTTCCAGTTTTTACATCCCAAAGTCCAGCTAAATCGAAGCGGATCAGAACATTCCTCGAGTTCACGGTGGAGAAGCCACAACGAGCTGCCTGATATTGCCGTGCTTAGTTCTCTTCTGCAATTTCAAAAGCTGTGGTAGATTCTATGACAGTGGACATCGGTCGGCACACCGCTCAGCAAGCATGTAAATAATCTATTATTTCATTTCAAAAACACCTTCTCACATGTAGATCAACAACATTTGTTTTTCTTTTTTCTTTTTTGTCTATCCAATACCATTTGGTTCTTTTCCTTCCTCACTCCATGATTCATCTTCTTTAATGCTTTCTCAAGGCAATGTCAATGTTGAAACCCAACAAATCTACATTACAATATCCAGGCAAAGAAAAGGCAGCCATGACCCGCAAAAACAGCTCCACCCGTCGCCTCCGTCCATGCTACCCGAGTCCCATCGAGTTGTGTTATAACCTGAACGTTGCCGACATTGCTGGTATTGACTCGTACCGGTGTTTGTCAAATGTTGGGACTCACAGAAATTCGGGACGCTTCTAAGTATCTCGATCAGATTCTATTCTTACGAAGCCGACGCAACAAAGATTGTGACTTTAATTCGTGAAAGGGTTCAGTCTCGAATGATGATATGGAAGCCAAAGTTGATGTCATAGGCAGGGCGACAAACTTTTATTTGTCGGGTTTGCCATACGATCCCAATATATTTGACGTCGAATCAGAAACTACCTCAAGGACGGTGCGAGGGAGCCGGCTGATGTCTCCGACACATTTGGAGGATCCGGGTTTCGCCGTACGGCGGACTTTAGCTCCGCGCTACTTACTAAGCTAATCCTGGATGACGATGCGCGATGAAGACAAGCTAACTGATTTGAGTGTTAAAAGGAAGGGACAACATCCTTTTCAGTGATGAAAACGAAGGCCGGTGATTCTTGTCAATGGCGGGCGATGCCAAATTAGAGGGACACAGACACCGCCATTTTGATATAAAAATGTTTTGGCTGATCTTGGAAGGGCGTCTGAACTTGAAGATGTAGCCTGGAAGAGCATTAAAAGTAAAAACCAAACGTGAAGACTCTGTTTGTCTCGCAAAAAATGAATGTTTTGGAAAACACTGTTCTAAAAATAATCGCTTGTATCGCCAGAGTTAAGCATCCCCGATGTCGCGCCACTGGGGGTCATGCGACCCCAGCCAGTCGCCCCATTGAGGTCATGCAAACTTCACCAATGCTTCGATAGCGGGAACTAATCTACATCGCCGATGAACACACCTCTTTATATTTTTAAAATTTGCTCACAAAAAGAGTTCGGGAACCCAATCAAACAACATGGAAAAGTTCAGGACCACCGGTTCCCTTTTTTTTTTTTTCCTTTGTTTGGTTTTGTTTTGTTTCTCTATTCTTTTTTTCCTTCTTCCTTTTTATATTTCTGAGAAAAGGAGCCAAAAAAGGTAAAGTAGGACTTGAAGAATATCAATTATCATATTAAAAAATGCCCAATTAAAATAGGCACGCAAGCTAGAGAACCTAATCCCCATTAAGCAGTTACTCTTGCCTTCCAAAATGCAATTCGTCTACTTACTTTCACTGTCATTTATGAAAAGAACAAATATTTCTCTTGCCCCCCAGAAGATAACAGCTAGAATACAGAACAGTCTAATCTTCAACTGCAACATCTAGCGTTACATAGGCTTCAATGATCGATCAAGAAGACGACAACATACTAGTGTCGAGACCAAGACACAAGGACACAAGAGTAAAAGACGAGGCTGAAGTGGCAAGACAGCGACTTGAACCCACACCAATAATACTTCCTTATCCTTCGATCATAACAAGAAAACGAACACCTTCGTTGCTTACGTTCTGATTCTTCAAGGATTCATAATTTTCCATTATTGGCAACTATTGCATTGTTTGGAGTTCAAATCATGGAATATGTGCCCTGTCCCTGTTTCCCTAAATGTTGGGTTGTCCGAGGCTACAAGAGCGGCCTACTAGTTAGCGGTCATCCTTTCCTTAGCAATCGAGAAAATTATCGAAGTTGAAAAGCTCTTACAATGTATTTTGTCACAACATTATTACAAGTGAAAATTAGCTGAATTCACCACTATGGGGCAACCTTTGGAGATATTCACACGCGTTAGATTTGAGTTATAATCATTCAGTATCGTTACGATTGCATTCAACATCATCTGGACTCTATATTTTCGAGATTTACAAAATGGGTCACCGTAAGGGGTCAAGTTCTCGTGAAAGACAGATGCGACTGTGCTGCTGATACACGGCGGCTGAATACTTTTATCACTTGATATTTTGTTTTGGCCGAAACTCTCTCGTTTAATATATCAAACAACGTGTTTCATCCATGTTTGACTTCTGTGCGTGGATGTGGAATTCGGGCGCGAACCTTTGCTGACCACTGCGCAAAAGCTTGCACAGCTCTGCTGACCATTTCTGCTACTCTCTCTTTCTCTCTCTCTGGGAAACTACAAAAACCTTCGCCCATTCTCAAGCTGGGAAGGTGCTTTGTTGGGTCTTCTGCCGAACTCAAGAGCTACAGCAAGAATTGGGATTGACGGTTCTCCCATCTCAAGTGTTCGCAGCGACGTATACTGTACAGCATCGGAAGTTCATTTGCATACGTTTGTTCACTGGAGACTGCTCTGCTAGTGCTTGTTTATTTCCTACTTCTTTCTTTTATGCAAGAACCTCCCCTGGTATCATCACTCTAGCCAGTTGTATCTAGCTTTGACGTAATTCTCTGGTATATTTCACTGTTTAGGTTTAGATGGTTGGTACAAGAGAAGCCCAATTGAATATGGGGAAGCAAAACTTTGGGCTCACGAGGGGCATTGTGACAGTGGTGATCGGAGTCGTTGTGGCTATTGCATTTTCAGTCTTGATGCCTGGAAAAACAGAGAATAGGTGGACATTCGGGGACTCTGGGGTTTGCCGCTTCCCGGCAATTTACAACTTTGGCGATTCGAATTCCGACACCGGCGGTCGATCGGCCGCGTTTTACCGGCTCCCTTCGCCTTATGGGAACAGTTTCTTCGGTAAATCATCGGGCCGGTTCTCAGATGGCCAAGTCGTTATTGATTTCATAGGTATGTTTTACTCGAGTGTGTACAATGACTCCGAATATAATCTCTCTGTAGGAATATCGGATGATTTTTCCTGATTTTAGGAGGATTGCTTTTCCCTTTTGTGCTTTGATTTCCTGCTCAACGATCTAGTTTCTAGCGAGACCCCATTAGTAAGTAGTGCAAAAAAGTCCAGATTATGATAACATTTTAAGCGCTTGCGTGTTTTCGACTTCCAGTCTCTTAATTAAATGCTGGTGGTGATGGACATATTACTACCAAGTTTCCCGTAGTGAATGTGAGGAACTTTTGTTGAGCAGGTCGCTCTTTCGGTTTATTTGAGAGTTGTCACTTGAGATCAATGTTATGAGTTGCCTTTTGTTAGATGTAGTTTAAATGGTTTGATGTGTTTTATGCAGATGCATTGTTCTCTCTCTCAGATGTCATTAGATGGGATTCTCCTTAAGCGTAATGCTAACTTTGCTGTCGTCTTTTGTGCAGCTGAGAAACTTGGTTTGCCATTTGTATCCGCGTATTTGGACTCTGTAGGTTCTGATTATCGCCATGGAGTGAATTTTGCCACTGGAGGCTCTACTATCCAGCCAATTGACGGCAGAGGATTTGACGCAAGATTTAGCCCTATTTCTCTCGATGTACAGCTTATGCAATTCCAGCAGTTCAAGGCACGGACTAATGAGCTATTCAGTAACGGTGTCAAAAGCCATCTTCCACTACCGGGTGACTTCTCCAAGGCTCTATACACTCTTGACATCGGTCAAAACGATCTGCACTCCGGCTTTAAATTTATGACAGAAGAACAAGTGCAGGCCTCTATTCCCAACATCACACATCGGTTTGCTTCAGTTGTTGAGGTTTGTAGCCTCCATATAGCGTCTTCCTAAACCGAGGGTTTCTGTTACTTAGCTGAAAAAACAAAAGGTGTTGCTGTCATACTACTTCTATTACAGAAAGGATTACAAGTTCCACCACTAACTACATAAGAATTTAACACATCCCATGTTGAGATTGGTGTCATCGACTCCACAAACTTCCGGGATTGGATTCAATGTGATGGATTGAGATTCCCATTCTTCATCTAATTAGCTTTTCTGTGGCCTAAAAAAGTTTCTTCATCGTATCGATGTTAACACATGATGGGTCCTTTGGAGGCAGTTGCAAGTCCTTATGTTTATCACACATGAATTGGAAATACTGTTCAACCTATGAAATCGATCACTTCGAGTGTTGCTCCCTCGGTTTACATAGCAATTCTTGTGTGCTCTAATATGCGTCTGCTCGTTTTTCAATAGTAGTACTAGTAGCTAATGTAGTTGGCCATGCTTCCAGTCCAAACACTAAAAGCCTGGGTTAATCCTTTTGCATTATCTGTTGATGAAATAAAATGGTATGGTGTGATCATGAGACCGTAACCTCTTACTTCAAATTACAAGATGTTAAACTATTGTACTGTCTCGTGATCATACTATTTAGCTTCTTACCTAATGCAAATAGAGAGAAGTATGCGCTATTTATCTAGACCTCACCGTCCTTCTTTGTTGCTGTAGAAGCTATACCAAGAAGGGGCAAGAGCTTTCTGGATACACAACACAGGTCCCATCGGCTGCATGCCCTTGACAGCCAGGCACATTTCCGCCATGCAGCCCGATAAGGTGGACGAACTCGGCTGCGTGAAGTCGCACAATGAAATAGCTCAAGAATTTAACAGGCTGCTCAAGGAGAGAGTCTCTGATCTGAGAGCCAAACTCACCGATGCAGTTCTCACTTATGTCGACATGTATTCTGCGAAATTCGTGCTGATAAGCGAAGCGAAGCAGCATGGTGAGTCCATATCATCGTCACAAGTGATTGGGTGGCAGCAAGTGCTTTCTTGCAGTCTTGCACATGTTTGCATTCCTTTACTGACATGGCTCAATTTGGTGCACAGGTTTCACCGATCCCCTTAGTTATTGTTGTGGCCGTGACGGAGATTACTTTGTACCGTGCGGGATGAAAATAGCAGTAGATGGAGTTGAAGTTTCCGGGGATTCTTGCAGCGATCCTTCCCAACACATAAGCTGGGACGGGATTCACTACTCTCACGCCGCGAACCTTTGGATAGCGAACAAAATCCTGGACGGCTCTTTCTCCGATCCCCCCGCCGCCATAACGGAAGCATGTCGAAAGGCCCTCTAGTCATGTGTATTACGTATAAGTTAGAACAAGCGGTTCGCTCGCATCCCTTCAAAGAGCGAATCGAACTCCATGTCTGTCTCAGAGGAGGCTCGAAATCCCGAGCTCTCTCGGTGTCCTCGACGTACATGGTTTCTCGGGTCGAAATAGTCGAATGAAACGGACCGCGTTCGCTTGCCTTTTGATATGTGTCTGATGGGATATTACATTAGATTGTGCATCATTTGGGAGCTGCATTTGTAAGAACAAAAAGAAAAGAAGAGCTGATAGTTAAAAAGAACAAAAGAGAAAATCAAAAGAAGTAGCGACTCCGCTGGGGATCGAACCCAGAATCTCTGGTTCCGTAGACCAGCGCCTTATCCATTGGGCCACGGAGTCTCTTTTGATCAGTTTGGAATAGTTTTTATTTAAAACTATAAACATAAAAAAGAAAAGGGAACATTTTGCAGAAAAAATTTAAAGTTCTTAAACGTTTGAATTTCTTACTTTTTATTTTTTGGTCGAATAGTTGTTGCCTATGGATGTTGAAAAAACAACCGAAACATGAAAAGTTTCGGGTGCAAATCTACTTTGAATGACATTTAGTTATGCGTGAAGGCCTCGGCCAGTCTCAGACCATGTCGAGCTCCTCTGGCGGTCGTGGATCTACTCACCAAAGAGAAAGGAAGCCCTCCTAGGAATCCCTCGGGAAGACCCTTTGATAATAAGACAGTTTCCGTGAGGATAAGGGAGGTGATGAGGGAGAAAGTGAAGTGACTAAAGTTGTCAAGTCCTAACAGGAGTCATCGCTAGAGGTGATTGACCAAGCCTCAACCAAGTTCGAGAGATAGATAAATGAGATCGGGCAATGCTCTTACATGAGAAAGCTCGGTTCGGCTCTGCTCGAAAATTTCTATATATGTTATATATGATGGGCAGGTTTGGGGAAAACATTAGGCCCGACTTTCAGACCCAAGCACTACTTCAACCCGACCAATGATAGTCTCTAATCATTACCTAATATCTACAGAATGAGTGGATGGGCTGGCTCTCTATGCATGGGGGCCACCTTGAGCCTGTATTAAGCGGTTCTCTCGTGGTTTTCTCTGGTTCGCACAATAAAGTTTTTTCTCTTACCCGAAAATACCTATCTATAAGATAGTGACTTGGCAACATAACATAGAAATATTAATTACATATAGATATATTTGAAAATCGAATCTTTAAGAAGAATTGAAGTGGTTGTACACATTACATATTCGTCTCTTAAAAGATTAGTTTTTTCCTTGTACTATTCTTGACATGAGCTTTATGTGCGCGAATAATTACTTTATCGGTGTACAAAAAAAAAAAAAAGAGTCGAGTGCTTAGTGAGCTTTGAATTTTGTACCTTGCTGAGGTTTATTTGCATGAAAAACTGGAAAGAGGAATTTGTATGTGGTCGAGGTAATTTTAGAGATAGGTACTTAAAGTGTAGAAAATTGTCCAAGGCAATAGAGATGCTAAGGGTAGTTTGGGAATGTTTTGCCTTTAGAATTTCGGAGAATTTTCATTGAAAGCAAGTAGTTTTTTGCTTTATGTAAAATTCTCACAAAAGAGCAACTTTGAAAATGAGAAAAAAAAATGAAAACGCTAGAAAAGGAGAGTGGAAATTGCAAATGTGCCGGGAGAAGACTCTTCTGCCTCGTCAGGGTTCGTGCGACCTTCGTTCCCAGTGGTTTTCAAGTCATCGTGAGCCCATCGTTCGTTGGTCGACTAAGGATGCGCATGACAACGATTCTATGTCCGAAAATCGATTCTACTTAGAAATGATTCTTTTTTATTATGTACCTGGGAACAATTTCTAAGCATTTGAAGGAGTTTGGTAATTGTCCAAAATTTATATTCTTAAAATAGAAAAAGAATAGAAATTTATTTGGTAACTACACAAAATTTCTTTTAATTAATAATATTTTGAATTTTTTAATATTTTTTTCCTTTTTTTTCTTTCCTTCCTTGGCCATGGCCGGTCGCTGGCGCTGGCGACTGGCCACAGGCCAGGGCCGGTCGCCGGCGCCGGCGACTTGCCACAGGCCAGGGCCGGCGAGGGCGTCACGGCCCTCACCACTGACCTCGCCATTGCGACCCATCTCCCTCGCCTGGGTTGCGACGGCGAGGTCGGTCTCGCCTTGGCTTGCCGTCACGATTGCGAGCCGCCCTCGCCAGCCCTGGCCTATGGCCGGTGGCCAGTGGCTGACGGCCGGCGGTAGGCCAGGAAGAAGAAGAAGAACAAACCAAGAAGGAAGAAGAAAATCAAGAAAAATCAGAAATGGAAAAATTGTTCCCATAATCAAGAAGCTACTTTTTTTTGCTTTTTGATTATGTTCCAAAACTAATTCTGGGAACAATTTTTTGCAAATTTGTGACCGAGAACAAAAAATTCAACAAACGGATTTCTGTTCCCAAACTGATTTTGAAAACAAAAGAATAGAAATTTTCACTATTTGGCAACTTGCCAAACGGGCCCTAAACAAAGCCAGGAAGAATATCTACATGAGGTTGTTTGTGGAGGTTCATTCACTCACGACACCATTCGACCGGTGAGCTCATGGAAGACAGTGTGACAATTTAACAACTAAACTACCATGCTTGACTGTCAAATGGAGGTATTTGTTAAACCCGTCAAATGAGTGGGTCAGATCTCGTTTGAGTCAAGTCAAAAATGGTCCAACCAAAATTGACCCATTTAATCCATTTTGACCAATTTTCTTGAAATACAAATCTAGTGATCCATATCAAACACATACTCGACCCGACTCATATCGTTACAGTACTTACATATATAAACTCAATCTAGGAAATCCATACCAAAATTGAGGCGAGAGCACCAAATTAGCTAACGTGAGATCGAGTGAGGGCACATGAGAGCGAAGAGAGGGCCATAGAGGTGGGTTGGGTCTAAGTAAGCTGTAAACCCATTTAACACATATATTACTTTGGCTTTTACCATCTTAAACCTATTTATGACAAATCTCCTAAATATAACTAACATATATAACAATCCGACCCATCAACATGTGTTAACAAAAAAATTTATGACCCATTTTGATAGGTCTAATATTTGTAATAATGCATCGTCCAAGAATTTTAGGTTGTGTTTTATATAGACTTCTATTTTTTTGCTTCTTACTTGACCAATGTCTTATGATTGATGCATCATGACCTTTTCTAGACCTAAGACACTTGAAGCTTTCAAAAATGAATCCAAATATTACCACTCAGACTTACATGTGTGTATATATATATTTTAAATTAGATAATATTTTGAAGTTTTGACCAAACTTTCTAATAATATTAAGCTTAATTCTAATAAACACCTGCAAATTATTTTGTTTTTCACTCATGAATTTCCTAAGGCCACGTTGCCGAGCTTTTTGCCTCGAGTCGTTTGGCTCAGATTGCACCCCGCACAACCGTCGTCATCGATCGTCCCCTTCCTCCTCCATCTATCTCACTCTCTCTCTCTCTCTACACTGTAAACTAAACCGCCACTACGATGCTCATCTCCTCCTCGCCCTCTCCCCAGAGCCTCCTCTCCACCACCGCCGCCGCCACCGCCACCGCCGCCACCGCCACCGGCAACCTTCTCCTCTTCTGCTTCCTCTCCTCCTCGCCTCACAAGCCCCACGCCGCCTGCAAATGCAGCTCCCCCTCCCCCAAGCCCCTCTCCCTCGCCGGGTCCGGCTCCGGCTCCGGCTCCCTCTCGGCCCCCGCCCCCGGCGGCGGTCCCCTCCGCCACGTGGTTCACGGCGGCGCGCCACCGCCGGACGATGCGGAGCGGCCGCTCCTGCCCTCCGCCTCCGCCGTCGCGTCCGCCATCCGCAGGGCCTCGAACTCGCCGGTGGAGTTCGCGCAGAGGGTCGAGCGGGACCAGAGAGGCGGCCTGGTGCTCCCGAGCCCCGATTTCCAGCGGCTCTGCTTCGAGCAGCTCGACCTCTTCCGCCGGATCGTCCATCCCGATGCTCTTCTCTCGGTCAGTTCCTCGAAGCTTTCAACCTCATCCGTGCCTTCGTTTTGGTTAGACAGTCGAGATCGTTGAATCGATGAGTTTTTCAATGTTCGTGAGAAGTGTTGTATTCGAATTGGAACAGGTTTATGTGAGGCCGGCTGGTAGTTATGTGATGGACCGCCTGGAGCTGCGTCGTGTCACTTCTCATCCGGTATGCAAGCTGAATGCGTCTGACATTGTTATTTTGGTTGGCACTTTCAACGTTCCGACTGGATTGCGCGCCGCGGAAGCCGCACTTTCTAACCAACAAGTAAATGATCTGATCACCTTTGTTGCTCGGTCTTTTATGGCCATTTGCTTCATTTTTTTCTTAGGAGTTGGAAGTTAGTTCGTGGATTACGTTGTAGGTTGAAGAGATACCGGAGTCTAGGGCCGTCGTATTTCCGATGGTGAAGCACCCCTTTGTGGTTGGATTCTTGGTTGCTGAGTTTCCGACGGCGGAAGAGCAGGACACTTTGCATTCGCCATCTCCAGAGGATGCGTATGCATTGCCGCCTTCAGGACGTGACTTGAAAATGAGGGATGTTCCGAGTGTAAACGATATAAAACTCGGAATGCGCCGGTTGAGTCCTGAGCAGAGATCGATCGCGGTCAACATCTCCCGTTCTATTGCAATGGCCTACGTTATGGATCAGGTACAAGTGTTCTGCTAAGCCGGGATGCTGCTTTCTTGTGTAATTGGATACATGTGGATACTATGTGTCTCGTTTCTATGCATACTGCATAAAGAAAGTGCATGCCGAATCTGAACTCCAGGGCTGTGGATTACTTGTCTAGTCTGCTGTGGCAAGGACGGTTGATCATGAGTGACACCAATCCTTTTGACAAATTTTTGATGATATTCTTTTTTTTATTTTTTGCGCCATTTTTTTATGATACACTTCAGTCACTACTTTGGTAAAACAGTATCTACTTCCGTATTGCATAATCCATCGTAGCTACATAGGCATGCGTGGTCTGTGAGGGAGTCAATTTGATCTTTTACTTGCTCCATGAGTCTCTAGAGGAGATTTACAGCAATTTCTGCTACCTAGATTATAATTGCACTTTTTCCGCTGGGCAGACATATTTTTAGGTTGTCATGCTTCATTTTCCAGTGAAATCTTGTGATTGACATGTTAGTCATGCTATGTCGCACTCTTAATTAGGGTGTTTGATTAAGATATATCCTCCATGGAGAATATGCTAAAAGCTCAACCTGTTTGGAGTCCAGTATTTATTAGGAGCTTTACTATTGATGCCTTTTTGGTTTGGTAGATATTATTATCTGCCATTCGCCCTTCATAGACCTGAACAGCTTATTGGTTTGCTTGTATGCACAACGTGTGATCAGCTTGCCTCACTGTAGGACTTTAACTTTACTTCCTGCATATTTACATTGGACTACTCCTTATTGTGTGCTGTTCAACTGAGATTGCTTCTGCTTGCGTTTGTCCCCAAACAGAAAGCAATGTTGCTCCAGCAATCTTCCTGGCAAAATAACGTCCGGATGAGCAACTTAGTGGAGCAGGTAAGAAGGATCATTTGGCATCAGCATGTGTTACTTGAAGTGATTGTAAGAAGTGTAATCTATGAAAGTTTTTACAGATTCGCGGTCCTCTATCGAGCATTCGAACTTTGACAAAAATGTTGTCTCTACACATGGAACGAAGTGAGGTTTGTGAATTTCACTTCTTTCTTTTCCCCCTTTTCTGGCCTGAAATTCCACATCTAAAAGACATATGGTTGCAGATTTCCCATGACATTGTTGAAGACATCTTGGTGCAAGGTGATCGAATGCGAGATACTCTTCAACAACTTCAGGATGCAGTATACTTTACAAAGGTGCATGCATCATTTCTTTTCACAGTTGTCGTTTTCCGGACACAGAATTGTCATTTTAGCTTTTCATCTCTTGATATATACCGCAGCTGTTTAGTAGTTGGTCACAGTGATCACGTAGAGTTGCTCACACATGCTTGCTCATTGACATCTCTGTGGCGCATACAAGTTTCTCATGGAGGAAAAAATGTTGTAAAGGGTGGATGGAGTTGATTAATATGGCATTTGAGAACCTTTGTCTATGTTTAAGGTTTTTTTTCTGTTCTCCAACCATGTTAGAACACTTCTTGGTGAAGCATGATATGCTTCTTCTATTGTAGACTATCTACTTCTACATGCGTATCTGTTGATCAATTTTCGCCAACCTGCAGCACCCCTTAGTCACCAGTGCTTTCCGTTTTGGCAATCATTTACCTCTTTGTCAATCTTTTTTGTACGCAGTAACAGATGTGACCTTGTTGTTTAAGTTGCTGACCTCTACAATATCTGCAGTTCACAGTTGTTGTTACAATTTTAAGAATAGACAAAACTTAGCTCTTCAGGTTCTGTTGGTACTGCGAAGAGACAGTCAGCCTAACTATTCATATAGCTGGCAATAGATCTGACTCTTGATCATCTGATATATCTCAGGCTAACATAATGCGGTACAATGAAGAAACATTAAAGAAAATGGATAACTCAACCTATGCCCATCCTGGCTCTGGAAGATCTCAATTGGCAGATAAAATGCAAAGCGAATTTTCAAAAGGTGATCGGTTCTCTCAGAATTCTGCTGTGAAAGATCTAGAGTTGCCTATGCCACCTCTTGCTCTTGCACCTCTTCAACAACATGGAATTAGGTAGTTATATTCCTCAACTTCGATCAGATGCTTTCATTATTCTGAGAGCATTTTTCTCTTGCTTTTTATTTGTGAATACTGTAGCTTTTGTTCATCACTTGAATCGCTCCTGCTAGGAATGCCGTAAGAGCTAGCTTTAGACCTACTTTTGAACATATATAACTAATTATCGGGAAGTAACTTAATTTATCACTTTTACCTATCATAGGCAATGATTTGAGCTGACAAATGTGTTCATGGATGACGATTTTACTATTCTTAAGACAATGAATCTCTATATGTGGACCATGATACAAAATATACCTTTTTAAGCAACGCTAATTACAGTTACGATTTCTTACATTAGCTTGTGCTTTCCGTAATTTGATTTATGTGCATTAATACTTCTGAATGTACACTGATCACCACCTTCTCTATTTTAGGACACTCAGAGAGCATATATAGTATGTCAACCTGAAAACTTGATACCACTGGACCTTAGAAGTTACAAGTCTGGGTACTGATTTTCGTAAGAGCTTGGCAGAGAACTGAAATTGGACTCGTGTACAAGATGGAAAAGATACACATTGCTTTTTACCGACATTGAACTATTTAAAGGAAACTTGACCACTTTCATCATGACATCTAAAAGTTGTTAAATGTTGAGGTGTTCTAGGAAGAGAGCTCATGATTTCATTGCTTTTGCAGAAACTTAAAGTTTTGATGGAAATAATCAAAATGGATAAATCTTTCTACAATGCTTTCTCATGGAATTATCCCATTTTTATCATTTTACGTTAGTCCACCTGATTATCCCCTAATGCCCTTTCTTCTTGTCAGGAAGACCGTGCAATGTTTCTGATGTGCTTTCGGACCTTGTTGGTGCCATAAGACCTCTTGCCCATAAACAGCAACGTGTGGTAGAACTAAGTGAACTTTCACAACCCTTGCAAGTTGCCATAGAAGAACCTGCTTTCCGCCAGGCTCTGAGCAACTTAATCGAGGGTGCATTGTTGCGTACGCATGTCGGGGGAAAAGTTGAAATAGTGTTAACAGGAGCACCAGCAGGTGGTACTCTCGTGGTAATTGATGATGATGGGCCCGATATGCATTACATGGTATGTGTGAAGAGTTTTCACCATTTCTTATCTCAATTCGTGAATAGCTAATTGAATTTCTGGTTTGGACTTGTATAGAGGTATGTGGTTAGAGCTTGATTACTACAAATATCACTAGCTGTGTTTTATATTAAGTATTTCATCTCGCTTGTTTACTAGTTTGTTTAGGTTTGTTTTCATATAATCCCTTTTGACCTAATAGCTTAAATTTGTTAGTTTGACAGTTTAACATAGCATGAAAGGCAAGTTTTAGGGTGCATTTGTTTCACTGAAAACCTTATGATAGATGAGTTTTTCCTCGAAAATCATTTTCAAGGAAGATAGTTTTCATCTGTTTGATTGTTTAGGGAAAGTGATTTCCTTCCTACTAGAAGGGAAAGTCATTTTCCCCCAATCTAAGCTTGTTTTCAGTCCATGGAAAACGTTTTCCGTAGATTGATTAGCTTTCCGTCATCCGAACACTGGAAAGTCGGAAAACAGTTTCTCGAAAACAGTTTTCCTTCAAACAAACAGACCCTTAACTCTTTATACCCCCATTTAATGTTTCATTGGAGTGTAGTTCTTTTCTCTCTCCATCCGATTTGCACATGAGAGAAGATACTAAAGTATCTCATTTCTCGTCTATGGGGTTTGTCTAGGCCTTATACTGATGGCATCTGCTTTTATGTCATAGCTTAAGATTTTGGGTTTGATGTTAATTTGTTTTTGTTTGTAGTATCTGAAACTGAAGAATTGACTACCTAATTGTTATTGTTGATCAAAGAAAGATGGCTGGGAGATAGGCAAAGTGGACATATGTTAGTGATACATGGAAAGCCTTCCTTAAGCATACATTCTTGGTAAAGAAAGAGATGTTCCTATGATATAGGTTTAGGGAGTGATATGCAGGAGTTAATAGTTTATACTGTGAGATCAGGTCGTATTTACTTCACTGACTGAACTGAGGCATGACAGAAGCATCAAATCTATTGTTACGTAAAAGTTCTGGTGGTATTAGGAATATTAAAATATATTTTAAAAGAGACCCTGGATGGAAGTAGATAGTGAGATGCTAGTCTGGACAATTTTGCACTGTAGGATCTGGCATGCAATCTGTAGAGATGAGAGTAAAGACATCTGATAATTACTCGAGTGAAATCAAGGGATCACTCATTTTCTTTTTCTGGGTCTGTACCACATTTTATACCATTAATAATGAATAAATCGTCGCTGCTCACTCAATTAATACTTTTCGTGGGTTTATACCTTAAATTTAGGCCTTCTAATACTTTTTCTCTTCCTTTTTGTGTTTGCCTACAGACACAGATGCACTCACTGACACCATTTGGATCAGATCTTTTCTCCAAAGATATGGTTGAAGACAACATGACGTGGAACTTTGTAGCGGGGCTCACTGTTGCTCGTGAGATACTCGAGAGCTACGGTTGTGTGGTCCGCGTGATATCACCGCGGACCCCAGAGGCTGCCCTTGGTTCTGGTGGAACTCGCATCGAGCTATGGCTTCCCTCTTTTGCATCTGTATCCCATCCAGATAACCCTGCACGGGAAGTTCAGCAAGAATGAATCTGGTCTCCGTGGTGCAAATCTTCTTCCCCCTTAATATTAGGAACCGATATGGGGGGTTTTGCCCTTCAACTGCTTCCCGCTTCGGAAATATGCGGGAGGTCCTGTACAGGAGGTTTAGTCTTGTTCTGATATAGGCAGTGACAAACTTGCATAATAAACGTGCTATGTAGGAAATTCGAAGCTCACCGTTCAGTCGGAAACCCATAGATCATACCGCATGTGGTATATAGTGATGTGAAAATCAAAGAAGGCGATGTATTGAGCCAGTTTATGTCTGTGCCAGTTTTGCGAAACTAGAAAGTCGAAATTGCTCTGCCACCATTGTTATCTAATGAGGTGGTCAAGCTTGGTTGTTGGTTGTCATGCTGTGAGATCTATACTAAATTAAAGAAGGGCAGATTGTGGTATTGGCTTTTGAAACTCCATCTCGTAGCTTCTGTGTGACATAATAGCTCGATAATGACTTTTTGGCACGCATGCCTCTAAATTCATGGTGGACGTCGATGCCGAGAAACCCGCAGTGTTATATCCAGTGAAGATGTTGGAAATTTTACAGACTTTTTGCATGGAACTCATTTCGCTCGAGCCAAGCCCGACCTGAGACTGGACCTCTGCTTGGTGCAGCAGGATCTGTTCTCGATTAAATTTGCGTGGAAAAGCCAGCGCGCTCTTTGGCGTGAAGCAAATTGGTAGTCATGTTGAAGCCTTTGGCTAGACACTGGATCTCTCCATGCGCGAAGCCGAAGATGCAAGCAGGACGTTCATTAAAGCCCCGGGTTTGAACTAGCCATGCGGCAATCATCGAGCTCCAATTGCTCAAGGGGCAACAACCCGTCTATGTCAAAGTCAACCCTTTTGGCCTTTTAAAAAATGAGGGAAGAGAACGGTCAAGTCAGCGTCCATGCGCGCCAATTTCGCGAAGACAGAAACTGCAATCACGGGGCCTAACTTTGAATGTGCAGGCAAAAGCAATGTCCTCTTCTTTGCGTAATGGAAACAGAAACTGCATTGAGTATGGACCTTCTGCTGCGTTTGGGAAGCGGGCGAGGGGGGGTGAAAATGAAAAGTGTGCGAAGAAAGTTGGGGGAGGAATGCAATTTTCCATTATTTGGGAGCTCTATTTAAAAAAGGTGTAAAAACTGCTAAGGTAAGGTTTGCATGTCTGCGGATGTGCCACAGAAAGAATGTCAAGCAGGGGTTAATGACCTATCATTGTTGTGCCTCGTACTATTTCAGGATTGTCTCGATCGAGAAGAGATGACTATTGGGCAGGCTCGAGATAAGTCGGGCCTGAATTTTGGCTCAAGTCCACGCATCGTAAAATTGTTAGGGTTAAGTACAGATTCAATCCTTTCAAAATTTCGGCTTTTTGCGATTTGGTCCTCTTGAATATTGCTTTATTCAATCAAGTCCTCTAGCTTTTTAGAATCGTGTTGATTCAGTTCTCTGAGTTTTACTTTATGCAATCAATTTATTTTTTAATTTTCTCGATTTGTAAAATTGAATCCTTCGGTCAACAACTCCAACTATACTATCAAATTAATTAACGACGTGGCATTTGCTTATGTGACAAAAAATGACCAGTGATGCTAATTTGGCACCAAATGAGCAGAAAACAAATGGGAGAAACAAGAGAAAAGAAATCTTGGTTTGACAGTATTAATCACAGTGAACACACAAAAACACTCATTTGCACAAATCAAGAAAGTTAGGGTATTGGATTGCACAAAACAAAACTTAGAGGATCAAAACGATTTGAGATAAGATTAATTTTACGGGGATCAAAACGAGACATCTCCAAAGCTAAGGGGTGCAAAATGCAATGAAGCCCAATGTCAATTCTCAATCAAGTCCATGCAAAACTTGCCAAACTCCTACACAAATTTGCTTTTGCAAACGCAAAGTCAACGCTTTGGCTTCCGTCTTTGTTTCGGTTCTATGTTCACCATATTAATCTTCTCAGTTTTAGGTACTTTTCCTCCTAAGTTCCTACGAATAAATCAAAATTAGAAAGACAGAAAGCTTCTCCTCCCTCTTACATTCTGGTACATGCCCACGGTGAGTTAAAGACCAGATTTAGCCTGATTTCGCCACTGGGGAAGAAGATGCCGTGCTGGTAGGTTTAGGACAATGAACATGAAATGACTTCTCATACCATGTCCGCAAAATCTGATGACGAGCCTTCTTTTTCTTCCCCTTGTTGCGGGGAAATTCCATCTTGAGTAAGGCCCACAAGTAAAAATCTTGTAGACCAGGTCAAAGGTGAGTCGAGATTCTAGTTGATACAGTTATCAGGCACTAAACCGCGTTACGTGCGGATCGTTTCGATAAAGTTTAGGACGTAGGAAATGATGTACGATACACTCAAGCATAGCGGCCGCTTGATGTTAACGTGTTATTTGATTATAAGACTCGTGATATAAGCTCATTAATGTAAAGAAGTTGGAGCAACTTAAACAAATTAATTAGCAAATTACGATATCGTGGCTGATATCTTATATAATTAATAGATAATATTAAAAGTAAAGGTAAAGACAGTTTTTTCCAATGTAATTCAGGGATACAGGCCCATGAAATATTTTAGAAATTTATGATGAACTAGTTAAGTCTAGATCTTTTGTCTATACAAGTGAACCGACAGAGAATAATTTGCGCGTATTTGGCGAGATACGAACGAGTGATCTTCAGTTTTTGAGCTAGAAATCCTTTAACGCCGAGTATTGATTAAAATACTTTCGTATACATATAGGAGTTACAATTTAAATAAGAGAAATAGTTGTACTATACTACTATTGCCTACATAGCAGAATGGCAAAAAAGAGTAAAAGAAATTTAGAATTACTTCATTTGCAATAAATTCTATTATATTTTTGTTTGCACTCTCTGAGCGGTTATCTCAATCATTTAGCGGCCCATTCAGGCATTCAACAAGAATCCGCCACGTATGTCACCGAGCAAAAACTGATTTCGTAGGCGATTCTTAATTTCATTGTCGGACGCCCCTAGTCTCATGACATGGAAACGCCCAAATCTTGACACCGGACGTGCAATTTTCATGAGACGAGCAAAGTTTGGTACCAGCCCAATATTGAGGAAACCATTTGAATTAAGCAAAGCAATGTGGGAAGACAAGGACCAAAAACTAAATAACAACGGTCAAAGTTTGGTAGCTAAGCACAAGAATTATATATGTATTTTCATCGCCATTTGATTTTTAGTGTATCTACGTCAAACCCATTTGATTTTGTTACGTGGTTTGTCTCCTTAATGTCTTGTCATTTTGCACAGTCATCTATATACAAAAAGTTTTAAACTTATTACACTTTTGCCAATTCAGTTCTTCACCTTCTAATTGTACCTATTAAGTCTTAAACATATTTATGTTTTGCCAAATGAGTTCATCCAGCCAATTTTGATCGAAAATAGCTTACACAGACATCAGCCGTTCTATTTGGCAAGACCTGTATTTTACGTTTACAATTTTTAATAATATTTTTAATTTTTTATTAAATTAAATAAGTTATATAGAATCTAGTTCGTTCTAATTCAAATTCCTCATGAATGAAATTATTTTCTTAGGCGTATATATGCCATTGATGTGTTTGGATGGATTTTTACAATTTACTTTTTTTTTCTAAGTTATATTTTGTAGTGGATACATTATATTTTTATAACTTGAGACATCCAAAACTTTCATAATATACACATATTGACACGTAGATTCACGTATTATTCTTTTTTATAATTTTTTGAAATTTGGATAATATTTTTAATGTTGATTGGAAAGTGAAAAATCGTTTTTTAATTTTTGAAATAAAAAATTGTTGGAAAAATCATAAACCTATTGTATGGCAGTCAATTCACTCATAAACTTTTCAATTTGGCCAATGTAGTCATAAACCTTACTATTTTCTAATATAGTCCATTCGGCCACATTAGGCCGAAAACTGCTTACATGGTAGTACAATCAACGCCGGTCATTCTACATGGCACGACCGATGCTGACATGGACAAATTTTTAAAATTTTCTCATTTTTTTCTTTTTGTTTCGTGTCCTTTTCCTTTTCTTTTTTCTTTTTTTTTTCCTATTCTACCATGCATCTTCTTCCTCCGCCGGTTACTGAGCCTCGGCGATGGCAGACGAAGGATGCCAGCCACAGGTGAGCGTTGCCCTCGCCAGATCTGTGCGACCGTGGTCCTTGCAAGGCCTTGGCAACCGACGAAGGAAATAGATGAACAGCATAATAGGAAAAAGAAAAAGGAAAAAGAAAGAAAAGGAACGGAAAAAAAATTTATAAAAGAATTCTTATAAAAATTGTCCACGTTCGCGCTAATCGTGCCACGTAGGACGGTTGGTACTAATTGGATCGCCACATCAGCGATTTCCGACCTAAATTAACCGGATGGATTATATTCGATAAAAGTCAAGAGGTTTAGGACTACATCGGCCATATTGAAAAGTTAAGGACCGAATTAGAATCCATATAATAGGTTGATGTCTTTCCGGACAATAGCACCATTTCTGAAAAACTTAAGCAAAAGGGTGGGTTGGAGTCCCGGCGAAACGAGAAAGAATGGAGAAAACCGAAGACAAAGCATGTAATATTAGGTGATTTAATTAAATAAGTTCTCTAAACTAAATGCCATGCATCGCCCATTCAATGCATGCCTAACCTTTTCAACGCACGCATCGTCCATTCAATGCCATGCATCGCCCCATTCAGTTAAATTTCGTTTCCCTTCCCATCGACCTCTCTGTCGTCTCAAAAGCTCGCAAGAGAAAACGAACGCGGATCAGACATTCTTTCCCTCGCGTTCGGCGATCGAATTGTCTTCCTCCTCCTCCTCCTCCGCCGTTTCGTTCGAAGACAGTCTCGTCGTCCAGCTAAGCTGAGGACCGCAGTTTCGCCTGCGAACGAACACCCTGTTTTTGATTCATTGATGCAGCAGATGTTCCCGCTTTGTTCCCGAGGACCGTCGACGAGAAGAGGTTGAGATCACGATCCCTGAGCCGGAGGGCCTTCCCCGTCTTTGCGACGCGACTACGACGCGCGTGTGGTGATTTTTTTGCTTTTTCGAACGATGTGTTCTGTTGTTGTATGAACTGGGAAAGTTGGATTTCGGAGCTAAAATCGGCTCCGATGTTGTCGGTTTGACTCCTAAGTTTTGCGCGTGCTTTTGAAGTTCGTCTGCTGGAGGCATGCGGATTGATTCTTGTGCTTGCTTAGTGATTGTTGTCGTGAAATCGCGTTGATGATCGGGATTCATTTATGCGGTCGTAGATACGTTGACATTGCTGGGTTTTTGCTGTTCAGAGCTAACTTCGTGCTTAGGCTTGATGCGAGTGGACGTTTTTGAGTTCATTATCTTCAGTTGGACGCAAAGTTACTTGTTTGCATAGGCGGGAACATCAGGATTCAATCGTGGGGCTATAGCATTATAATATTGGCTGGAGAAATTTTGTCTTAAAAGTGGCACACGGTTGCTTTCAATTGGAGTTAATTTAATACTGGATCGGAACCTGGAAGGGCCTTAGAGGGTTTCAATTGTCAAAGGTCAAAAAAGGATCACGATCACATGTTCGCTTGTTCATAAAAGCAAACTTTCGAGCAGGTTATGAGGAAGGAGCACATGATTGCTTGCTCCTTCAATCACTCGTGCAGATCTCTAAACAGTCATTTTGCTTCTGGTGTGAAATGGGAAATCTGAATTCTTGAGCTTTACATTTTCCCTTTTGCATTGTGGGGTCAATCTTTGGCATAAGGTGGGGTTGAAGGATAAGAGGGAGAGGGAGACAATTTGTTGTTTGAATGAAGTGGGAGCACACCCTTAAAGCGCATTGGAGAAGAGATTTTGGTGTGAATCGGGCGAGGGGTCTTTCGGTGACCTGTCATCTGCTTGTATGAATCTTCCTTTGCTTCACTTTTGTGCATGTTCTTATTCTTTTGCTGAATTTGTATTGTATAGCCTGAGGAGGTTTGGGTTGTAATAGGATCATATGATGTCTCACTGCTACAAAATCTCTGTCGCTGTGCAAATTTTCCGTTGACATGCCACATGAGTGCGTGTGTTTTTTCATGTTTCGAACCATAAGTTCTGTTCAACTTATATTCTTCTGCACTTTGTTAAAGTATGTGAACTCTTTAATCTAACTGTCTAGTGTTAATTATTGTGTCATATCAGGTCCCCTGTACACATTCCACAAGCAACTTTATGTTCTATTGGAGATTTGAGAACTACGGAACTCCAAATCTGCTAACAAGAGCAGAAGAGTTCTCCAAAACTCTGTAGCTTATTTCTTGAGTACTTTCTGGGAAGAGCGCAAATAAAATGGGAAACTTTTCACACAGGTTACAAACTTTGAATGCTTTCTCTATTCTCACTTTTGTTGTTTTAAGAGTGGCTTAAGTCGAGGTTTTGCTTTCGCCTTCTTTGGTTGCAGTGCAGGTGGTACAATTTACGGTGGAACAACGAGGGGTATAATAACAACTTTGGTTGGAATCTTTTTTGGTTTCTTCTTAGGACTATCATTTCCAATGCTGTCATTAACTAAGGTATGTGATTGATCACTGCTTTTAGTAGTTTCAATTAACTCTGTTTTTTGAAAAAATTTCCACATCCAAATTGGCAGTTTAACCTTTCATCCTGCCTTCTTCCCATCCCTGATCTCTCCAAATATGATAACCAACAAATGAGGCCCCTAATTCAAATTTCTTCCGAGAATGGCTGCAACAGCAGCTCAACTGAAGCCCCAAAAGTGAACGATGCTTCTAAGGTGAAGTTCCCATCTCTAGCTTTAGTGATACTGCTCTGTCCTCATTACGTTTAGGTCTTAGAATTTTTTATCTGATTATTGAGCTCTAGTAATGTAGATTGACGAATGTTTAGGAGGGAAAAAACCCATTCAAGCAACTTCGGTTCAATCTTAAAAGCAGTTTTATTCTTTGTGGGAAGAGGTTGAACACTTCATCTTATGATTGTTGACTTAGATGGATTCTACAGAGTCCAAACTCATGCCATGCCATTGCCAAGTACCAAATCGACTCGAGTAATTTATCCTTGTTTTGATTTCCCTGTCATAATTTACATCTTGCTGACAGGTTCCTTTTTTTATGGGTATTGCATGGCTCAAAGAAATATCAGCATCTTTTGCAATATGCTAGTGGTAGTGGTTCTGATTTGTCAATTTCCTTCTTCTAGCAGTAGTCTTTGCAGTTCCCACGAATTGACAAGACTGAGTAGAGTATCATTTTATTGATCTATTTGTTTTAGATGATATAATCGCTTTGTCTAAGTGAGGTGGACTTGTTCTGAACTTCCTAATGCATGCGAGTTATTTGGTTGATTATAACTGCTGCTTACTCTTTGTGGGAGCATATTCATTCGCACAATGCATATCTTATGAGCTGGACCATAGATCCAGTACTTGTCATCCTACTGATATAACCTGGTTTGAACTTTTTTTTTATTAAATTTAAGTTTTGCTCCTGATCTCTTGCAGATTTTGGTCCGATCAAATCCAAGAGGTGCAGAAAGATTGCCACCAGGAATACTAGCTGCTGAATCAGATTTTTATTTGCGCAGATTGTGGGGAGACCCCAATGAGGTATGGATTCTAGCATGCAAGGTAGCTAGCACCCCAAATTTGCAGAATAAGTAACTGGATATTCTTCGATAATTTTTTGTATAAGAAAAACCGTTTTTTAGAGGAGAGATACAAATGTTTCTTGCGCTTAAGTAGAATATGCAGCTGGAGAAGTACTAACGAATTGCTTTAACATTTTCATCAAACGGACAGCTTGGATGTTATAATGGTGGGAACATCTTGCAAAGTTACTGATTAGAACTTCGCAACATTCTCCATAGTACTTCCAAGCCACTGAGATATGTCTGGCTGATGTATCAAAGATGACTAACACTATGTTGATCTTTTGGTGAAATTGCTCTGTGCAGGACTTGACTTTCAAACAGAGGTATCTGGTAACCTTCACTGTTGGTTATGCCCACAGAAAGAATGTTGATACAGTAGTCAAAAAGGTGAAAACTCTCTTATATATGTGGAGGTGCATTTTTCGTATGCATTCAGTTGTGAATTCATAAGCTTGATATCTTTACTTCACCCATCAGTTTTCAGAGAACTTCACGATTCTTCTGTTTCATTACGATGGGCAAACAACAGAATGGAATGAGTTTGAGTGGTCCAAGCGAGCCATACATGTCAGTGTTCCAAAGCAGACAAAATGGTAGGAAGCGCCATCCACTTCATTGTTGAGATTGACTATGATCTTCTACATATCCTATTTCTTGAACTGCCCGAATATTTTGGCCTAGGTGGTATGCCAAGAGGTTTTTACATCCCGACATCGTGGCTCCTTACGAGTACATATTTATATGGGACGAAGACCTAGGAGTTGAGCATTTTGATGCAGAGGAGTGAGTACAGCATACAGCTTCTTTGTACATGACAATGCTAAATTACTTGGTCTCACCTTGCTAAACATGGTAAATCCAGGTATTTAAAATTGGTGAGGAAGCATGGCTTGGAGATATCACAGCCTGGTCTGGAACCTGACAGGAAGTTAAACTGGTTGATGACTAAAAGAATAAATGGTAGTGAAGTTCACAAGTAAGTCTGATGAGGCCTCCAAACAATAATCATCTGTAATTCCAAGGCAGTTGACTAATGTTTGCATTTCACTTCAGGGAAGTAGAAGAACAACCAGGCAGATGTCGTGACCCACATCTGCCCCCGTGTGCAGCGTATGTATGACTTAGACCATCAACTTCATTTTTGCTTGCTTCAGTTTACATCTGCTCTACATCGTTCTTGCGCCCTGATGAAAAATTTGGACTTTCATGTTCTGCTTACGCAGGTTTGTTGAGATCATGGCTCCAGTTTTCTCGAGAGAGGCATGGCGCTGCGTATGGTATTTGCTTCAGGTACGACAACCCACCACACCGCACCAAAAAAAAAAAAAAAAAGAGCAGCGAGAGAAGCACCTTCTTTACTGAAATGTTTGTTTTCTTTATCTGGGAATCTACAGAATGACTTGGTCCATGGATGGGGTTTTGACCTTGCCCTGAGGAAATGTGTAGAGGTGAGGCTGTGCCTACACTATTTGCAATTTCAACATCATCTGTTATACATACGTAACATATACACAACAATCTCTATTTGAACAGCCTGCCCATGAAAAAATAGGAGTCGTCGATGCTCAGTGGATCGTGCATCAATCATTTCCTTCGTTGGGCAACCAGGTAAGTGAAAAAATGACGGCAGTCGCTACATTGCCCCTTCACAAGTGGTCTTCTTAAGAATGCCAGCATTTCCATGTGCTTTGTTCTCGCTGAGCTGATACCATTTGCTTTGTGGGGATTGTTTCTCAGGGCGAATCACGGAATGGAGCGGCTCCATGGCAAGGGGTACGTTAGTTCTAAATCCTCCTGAACTTGCAATTCGAGACTACTTGTGTTTTAAGCTGTCAAGATGCACCCTCTGAGGTCGTGGATCGATGCTTTTGTTACACGACACTAGTGATTCAGACGTGAAATCATCGAGCGTCGGCTAAATCTTCTGACAATGGTCTTTTTCCCTTCGGACCACTCAAATTCACCTTCCTCGTGCTTCAATGGCTTGCATTGCAGGTGAGGGACAGATGCGGGAAGGAGTGGGGGATCTTCAACAGCCGATTGAGAGATGCCGAACTCGCTCAACAACGGGCAAATGGGGGTTGATCCTTCCAAAGTAAAGCCATAGCAGCACAGATGCAGCAACAGATTGTTCTTCAGATATCAAAGTTACACTCCCCAGAAACTCAGAATTTTCTTAGGATACTTGGTAAATTATATATTGCACTTGTACCATAGCGTTACGAGCATACACACATACTCACATTGTTAAAGTTACAAATTCATTTCCCCATTTTATAGAGAGAGCTCTTAAATCAAGGCTATTCAGCATGTCAATTTTTCTTTGGAGCTGTAATAAAGATGTTGTAATCAGAGGTTTCAAAGACCACTCATCGACTCCTGTTCCATTGCAAAGGTGATATACATTCACTTAATAACCATTCCGATTCCGCTCATTCAAATCATAATTGTCCAAGATACATTAATCGATGGTTTCCTAAAAAGTTCTCCTTAACCCGGAACTGGATCGCTACAAATTGTTTGTTGTGCAACATTTTTCGAGCACTCGATTTAACCCGACACCTCATAAAACCAGATAGATAAGTCACATCTTATGTTGATTTAGACAATGTGGTGGTTGTGCCGCCACAGGTATCCCCAAACCGGAAAATCAAGAAACTTCCAATCAAAAAACAAAGAGTTAATACCACGAAAAACCTCAAACTGGTATACTTGTGACAAATTTACCCCAAACTATTTTTTTGATCACAAAAAATCCCAAACCGGTATTCCTGTAACAATTTTACTCCGAACTAATTTTTTGACCAGAAAAAACCTTAAAACGGTACACCAGTGGTAATTTTAGCCCGAACTAATTTTCTTTACCACCAAAAACCCCAAACTACTACACCCGTGACAAATTTACTATCTGTTAGTTTCCGTTAAATTTTACTGTCAAATTGCTAAGTTTAATGAGACGTGGTAGTTGACGGGTGTACCAGTTTAGGGTTTTACCCCTCTGTTTGTCACAAGTTTATCAATTTGTGAATTTTCGTGATATTAATCCAATTTAACGGAAAGTAAATTTGTCACAAGTGTACCAGTTTGGGGTTTTTGGTGGTCAAAAAATTAGTTTTTGGTAAAATTGCCACTGGTGTACCAATTTGGGGCCTTTGGTGGTCAAAAAAATATTTCGGGGTAAATTTGTCACAGGTGTACCAGTGTAAGGTTTTTTATGGTCAAAAAATTAGTTCGAGATAAAATTATCACAGGTGTACCAGTTTGGAGATTTTCGTGGTATTAACCCAAAAACAAAAATGCCTCGACTGCCAAATGGCGCTGCCTCATTGGCCCTTCCCCTGCTGACAAAAAGGGCCACGCCACGTGTCGTGCACCCTTCGCCGTTACTGTCATGGCCAAAACGCGCGCGCATAGTTTTTTTTTTTGTGGAGGCAATGCCCTTGGCCTTCTTCCCGAGTAACATCCCACTATCGTTTCCTGGCCTTACACGTGTCGCCACGTGTCCCGCATCGAGCCATCCGTCGCGGTCGAAAACCTCAAGCCAATTATATTGAAGCGTCAAGCAGGTTTCACCTCCATTGAAGGTCGAGAATGTTAGTGGTCTGCCCTAGGAATCAATCAAGGTTGATACTCTAATATTAGTTGTGGATTAGATTGTGTCGGAAAATCGACATTCACTATACTTAGGTAGTCATAATGTCTTGCTAGAGACCGCTTATGACTTGTGGGTCAAAAAGGGTTTTGAGCACACTGCTAATGTTTAGTGAATCTACAGGGTCGCACACAAAAATGAACTGAGTTAATATTTTCTGTGCACCGGGGTCTACTTAAAATAAGAAGTAGATTTTAATTTATTCTCCTATTCAACTTATCTACGCGGTCGTACACGTTATGAAATAACGATTAAACGTACGATGGAAGGTGGACGGTTTGGCGGGCCCAAATCGCCTAGCCCACTTCTTTTATAACTCCGCTGGATAATGAGGTTGTATAAATAGATAGAAAATCGTTCTCTATCTAGGGTTTTTTGATAGAGTATCGAAAATCAAAAAGCGTTGAAGAAAACGAACTTCAAGATCTTTAACTAGCACTTGAATCGTTGGAGACTTCTGTTCGCGTGTGTGGATACCGATAGAGGCGCAACACTTGGGGCACTAATCCAGACACAATCAATTGTTAATTTACGTTCGATCTGCAAAAGGTACGTATCGAACTTCTCTCTCGATTTCAATATACACATGGATCCTATCTAGGGTTCTAGAGTTTCGGTTTACATAGATATTCCGCTGCGTTTTTACCGTTGATGAACCCAATAGAGAAAAGAAGCGAAATACTTGAACAACAATGGGGCTGTCGAGCTTCCCGGTAGCAGCAGAAGGGCTCTTGCCGCTGCTCCTGATGAACAAGGCCCTCTCGGTGTCGCACGTGAAGAGCACCTGGAGATCCGTCCTGCGAGCCATCGCCGGCAGCATCGCGGCCAAAGTCGAAGCCCGCGATCCCGCGATCCCGTGATCTCGCGCCTCGGCGGAGGAGCGGCGAGCAGGGGGGTTCACGTGAAGCGGTTCGAGATAGTGTGCCGTGAAACATCGGCGAGCGAGTGCAGCTGCTCCTGCTGCGTGTGCCTGTGCCGGTTCGAGGCAGAGGAGGAGGTGAGCGAGCTCAACTGCAAGCTTTTCTTCCACGGGGAGTGTTTGGAGAGGTGGCTCGAGAACGACCACAGGACTTGCCCTTTTTGTCGCTCCGTCCTAAAAGGTTCTGAAAGGTTCTTGAGAGAGAGAGAGAGAGAGAGAGAGAGAGAGAGAGAGAGAGAGAGAGAGAAGATCTTACATCCTTTCCTTTTCCCACGTAAGAGGAGAGCAGGGGATGCAGTTTTGATTCTCCGTTGGGTTCTGTTTGTGTTTTTCCTTCTTCATTGTTTTTGGCCCTTCATTCATGTGGGTTTCTTTTTGTCTGTAGACTGTCTCGAGCAGAGACTACAACTTAACAAGAAGTTGAAGGAATTATGACTTTGAAGGCGATTTCTCTTTGCCCAGATCACTTGTATTTTCGTTCTATCGGGTGTGCGTATATATGTTGTTGGGGGGAAGAAATTCCCTGAACTGACGCGAGAAATCTGTCTAAGAACTCGAGTTCGAACTCCCGCTCTGGTTTCCGAGCTCCAGACAAAGTGCTCGAGTCTTGAAACAGTACTAACCTCATGAAAATCTTCTTGTGTTTCCGATAAGGTTTGCTCTGGTAGCTCTTGGAAGCAAGAAGGAGAATGTTAGAAAACCTGAAGTGTCGGAACTGTAAATCCAGGTTTGAAAATGAATTGCAAGAGATGTAAACTGCAGGGCACCAAATCTTGCTAAAACTAAAACTGCATGCAGGAGATTAAACTGAACCGAAAGATATTTGCTCGAGATCAAAAGGTGTTTACCCTGCCCGTATTTAAGAGCAACATGGTGAGAAGGTATAGAAACTTAAAAGCCGAAGCTGCAATCTAAACCTACAAGCATACGAGAAAGCTAGATAACACCAGAAAGGTAAAAGGACACATTCAAGAGAAATCCAAAGCCAACAAGGGCGCTACAGAATTGAGTGGGGGAGAATGTCACGGGTCATGATTCTCTCGTACTATTATGAGTAGAGCTTGGTGCCATAGGGATGAATAAGTGAGTGACGCAGATGGGATGATACAACTAGTTCGTGGGAGTGGCGTCGGGATGGATTGTACTAAGAGTTCTAGATTAGAATAAATATACCCTTAGGAGCTTTGAAGGTGGGATTGGCCTCCCATGCACAAAGTGGTCGGGAGCTGATGCTGCTCTACTGATGAGGCCATGACAGGCCGAAATCAGTTGTTGTGCCTAAAGTGTTCTATGTGTCTCACTCAAGAGGCTGAATGCCTCAATTAAGCTGGGCGTGGTACGATCCAATACAAGGATACGATTCGTCGTACTGTTCTTAGGAACAACTATAAAATGAAGGCTGGCCTGGAGTCTTCTCGACTCGCCAAGCGCCACACGGGCTATTCTGCGGCCAAGGAACTGTTGACCCGTGACAGATGATATCAAAGCAGGATCTCTCCAGGCGATGGGTGATTCAAGGAAATTCCGTGGTCTACTCAGTCCTATGGCGGAGCCCATCCATCTTTGAGGAGAGATTGCCTTCCTAGGGCATTGAGGGAATCGTCGGGGCTAAGAAAGCTTGGACAACGTGCGGCTCTCGTCTAACTTCTAGGATGGCAATGGGGGCACAAGGCAGAACCGAATTGCTCACTGAATAGGGATAATATTCCTGGATCAATTAGAGAATTTTAAGAGGAGGTTTGTTATCACGTTTCCAACAAGGGGAAAACCCTCCATTGGCTTGCTAAGATCAGTAGAAGCATTGTGGGTGAAAGAAGTTGCTGCCGAGGGAGTGCAGTTGGCTAAGGATGCCCCACTTGTCAAGGAGCACAAGTGATCAAAGATTCGCGAATAGCTTTGATCAAGGGAAGCTACTAGTGGAGTGGAGTGGCCTATTCTGTTGGGCAAGCGTTGCCATTCATGTAAGTCAGTGGCGTTGATGGTTGGAAAGCATAGAGAAGTGACAGAACAGATCACAGCGAGGGTGTTGCAGAATTGAGTGGGGGATAATGTCACTGTTGGAAGCGAGTTTCAGGAGAATCGACTAAGCTGTTCGATGCACTCCAAATAAATTTTCCAGGACCGTACGTTGAATCACCAGCAAACGATGAACGAATTTACTACACGTTGGTTCGAATACAATCACAAAGAAAGTATTCTCGTTCCACAGCGTTAATGCCGATTGTCTTCTCAAAGTTGATACTGAATCCTAAATACGTCGAGAGAGAGAGAGTTCTGAATTTCACTCTTGTTCATCATCTGAGGAAGTTATCTTAACTTCCCTTAAGAAACTCTTCTCGCACCACTTCAAAAGGTGTCTCTCAGACACACTTCTTATTAGAGCAAATGGTGTCTCTTGGACACATACATCATGGGCGGATCGACAAAATATAACATCTCCCACTCACACATGATAGGCTTAATGATGCTCTATTAAGAACATGAGGCATTCAACATTCATCTACTTTAGAAACAATTCATATTGGCAAGAAAGCCGTGCGACCAGTGAGTACACCTGCACTTGGGAGCTCTAATTATGCACCTGTTAGGGACAACATAATGGCTACAACCCCAAAAATAAATAAACAATTGATGTCTCACAGTACCCTAGACATATTTTGTTACATCAGTCCAAGTATACCTATCCCTTAAAGGCTATACTTGACTTTTCTCAAGAACACCATGTATTTACAATTATTTTCGAAAGCAATTGAATGCGAAATAATTGGTCGACCAGTAAACACATGTGATAGATGTAAAACAACAATAGTCTTCCTTCGCACTCATGTCTCTCTCCATTTCGGAACAACTGCTTTCCTAGACACGTCCCATAAAGCCATATCTATTTATAACCGCCGGTAACATGCTAAAGTAGCAACATTGATCTTCTATTTTGAGAACATAGTCAGAAGTAACATAGGGCACAAAGTAAGGTAAATTATAAATTACCTTAAGGACTCACACGATGAATAAATAGGGATAATTGTACTCATCTCCCTTATTGGTCAAATAAAGCACATGTAGTATCAATTACATGCTATAGTGGATTTCTCTTTCTATAAGAGCGTATGTCATTTATTAATCATATCCACTATACGAATCTTAGCCTAAACATAGTCACATGCTTCTCACGTACTCATGTTTAGCCCGAGTGCTATATCAGCTCGCTTTCCACAACGCCTAATTTAGTACTCGCATCCGGCTACCTTCAGGCATACATGATTGTGGGACTATCATGTTCGGTCTTATCACATACGAATAACAAACCTCATCTTGATTCCAATCAAGGCGACATTAAATTGTTTTATGTACTAAACTGCTCTTCCAGCATTTATAGTACATATCGTCTCATCTCAACCCGCTTACTATAGCGTTGGAGGTGATTGCTCGTGCGAGTGAGCCAATCATTGCCTGGTGACATACCTTTCAACAATATATGTGTGTTTGTGCTAGTCTCATAACATTGTACTAATTGATAAAACATCAATTCATTAACAAACAAGTACAATACATTGCAGGACTACGTAATCCAGTGATCCTCAACAATATTACATATTACAATCACATTCTACGTAATCCTAGAGGCATCCTGTGGGTCAAGAACACGTCTCTAGGAACAGCCTTCGTAAATGGATCAGCAACCATCCTGTTGGTTGAAATATATTGCAGGACTACTTCCTTCTGCGCTATTATATCTCTGATGAAGTTATTTTTTATGTCAATGTGCTTTGTCCTACCATGGTACTTGGGATCTTTCACATAGGCAATGGCTGCTTGACTATCGCAATATATTGTCACTAGTCTTGGGACATTAGTGACAATGGCTAAATTTTCCAAGAAACGTTCTAGCCATACTGCTTCTTGCACTGCAGCAGAACATGCAATAAATTCTGCCTCCATCGTAGATAAAGCTATGCATGTCTGTTTCTTGCTATTCCAAGAAATTGCACCATCATTAAGCAAGAACACATATCCAGACGTCGATTTATGCTCATCTAGGTCTCCTCCCCAATCAGCATCAAAGTATCCTAATAAGCGTAGATCACTCCCTTGATAGCAAAGTCAATAGTCCATAGTGCCTTTCAAGTATCTCAGAATCCTCTTAACTGCTTTCCAATGTGCTGGACTAGGATTTGATTGATATCGGCTTACTAACCCCACAGCATGACATATGTCGGGTCGAGTACACATCATAGCATACATCAAACTTCCGACAGCACTAGCGTAAGGAACAGTTACCATTTCTTTCTTTTCTTCTGGAGTCTTATGACGCATTTAGTACTTAGGCCTTCGCCTTGCATGACAGGGGTATCAATGGGATTACAGTGCTGCATATTAAAGCGTTCAAGAATCTTCATTATATAAGACTCTTGTGACATAGCAAGGAGTTTCTTTGATCGATCTCTTTCAATATTAACTCCCAATATATATGCAGCTTCTCTCATGTCCTTCATTTCAAAATTAGAGGACAACCATTCTTTTATAGTTATAACCAAACCCTTGTCATTCCCAGCCAACAGAATATTGTCCACATAAAGAGATAAAATCATAAATTTATCCTCGGACCGTTTGATATACACACAGTGATCCTCTTCGATCATCGTGAACCCAAAAAAAGTTATGGCTCGATGAAAACAAAAATACCACTATCTAGATGATTGCTTAAGGCCATAAATTGAGCGATGAAGTTTGCAAACTTTACGCTCTTGACCTTCAGCAATGAAACCTATCAGTTGTTTCATATAGATTTCTTCATCTAGTTCTCCATTGAGAAATGCTGTCTTTACATCCATTTGATGTAATTCTAGGTCCAAATGTGCAACAATGGCTAGGATAAAGCGTATAGAGGCAAACCTTACAACTGGTGAAAAAGTTTCCTCATAGTCTATACCCTCTTGTTGAGTATAGCCTTTCGCCACAAGGCGAGCCTTATACTTTTCAATGGATCCATCCGCCATTCGCTTAAGCTTGAAAACCCATTTGTTTCCAATAGCCTTGCGATCAGGTGGTAGATCAACCAAGTCCCAGACGTGGTTTGTCCTCATAGACTCAATTTTGTCTTCCAAAGCTTTTCTCCATTCTTCCTTGTCAGGAGATGAGAGAGCCTCTTGAACTGTTTTAGGCTCCGCATCGTCTTGTGGAGCAATCATAAATGCTTCCTCTTCAATCTCAAAATGACGACGGGGAATACTTTTACGACTACTTTTAAGCAACTGAACTTCTTGTGAATTCAGTTCGTCAGGCGATGCAACACTCCCACTAGGTCTTGTATGTTGAGATAAATCTGTATTTCTCTCAATAACATTAGTGGATGTGTTATCGGGATCTTCCATCTCATGTAATTGGAAGTCCTTATCGATCTCACCTTTACTAGGAAAATCGTTCTCCAAGAACGTGACATCTCGTGA